AATAATCAAAAGGCTTGAATTAATTGACGGAACAGATGAGCTCAGTTCAATAGATGATCAAGAGATGTCCGACAATTCTGACTCTTTCTCTTTATCAAAATGAATACTACAACAACTAAACCTCTGAGAATTTTGTATTGGAATACTAGAAGTTTCCTGAAACGTAAAGAAGACATTGAAAGAACTCTTCAACAAGAACCTTAAATATTTCGACGTAGATTTTCGTTGTTTATTTCAACCACATGAATTGGCAAATAAATGTATTTTCGAGATAAAAACAACGGTAGTAGTTAATGACAAAGAAAGACAAGAAATGTCCCGTCGAGAATTACGCATTATCAATGGTTATAAAAATATTGTTATTCTACTAAAGTTAACTATGTTAATTGTTGCTTCCAATTAATATTATTCTTCTTACAGTTCTCTTAATGAAACGCTGCAACGCCATCGATCCTACTAGAGCTATGGCAGCGACTTGGAAAGGATTATACAAGCGACATATCGGCTACGCCATACAAGACGCACGAAGATGAAAAGAAAAACAATTTATTTGGTTTCTGCATTAAAGCTTATGAATATTAAAAGTGATATAAGTTCCAACTTAATACTATTAAATAATAAATTTGTAATTCGATTTTTCATTAAGAAAATAAAATGTAATGAGTTAAAATTGTGATTATTAGTATTATTGCATGTTGAAAATATTTATTCGAGGTATTATCAATGAAAATACGCTTATATCAATAATTTTTTTTTGGTACCGCATGCGGAATCCCATGTGGGTATGTGAAGATTTTCTGAATTTTTTGGGATCCCATGTGGGATCCAATGTGGGAAATCCTATCAAATTCCCGGAAAGGATCCCACATGGGATCCCATGCGGGATCCCGCACAAGATCCCATGTAGGTTCCCATGTGGGATCCTATGTGGTATCCCATGTGGGGAATTCCAATAGGGAATCGCCTGTTACAGAGCCCCAGGTAATGCCTTTACGCTTGAACAATGGGAAAAGCTCTTTGATAATATTAAAAAGGAAAAAAATTGCATATTTGTGGGTGATTTCAATGCTCATAATTTAAGTTGGAATTGTAATAAAACGGATACGAATGGTGAAAATCTACTTGAATGCATAGACAAAAACAATCTCTTTATTCATAATTCAGATAGCTACTCCCACATTGACACTACTTCTATTTCAAATATAGATCTAATTCTCTCTAGTAACAATATTGCCGACAAAGTAGATGTTCAAGTTAACGATGAAACTTGGGGTTCAGATCATTATCCTATATATGTAAATATAAGCATAGAAAGGCATATCTACCACAAAAAAGTCATAAAATTAGAACTACCCAAACTAATTAGAATAATGTTATGCAACAATTAGATAGCTCATACGTAAATTTTTTATCAAGCAATTATGACAACTTAAGTGCCAGCTAAAAATATGAATATTTTGTTAACCAATCAACCGAAATTATCTCTGGTAATACACCAAAGAAAAAATTCGTAGACATTAAAATACACCGTAATCCTGTTCCATGGTGGGACGAGGAGTGCTTCGAAGTGAAAAAGCAAAGAAACGCCGCGTTTAGAACTTGGGAAAAGTCCAAAGACTTATCCGACTTAATCGAATACAAAAGACTTTTAGCCCTAGCACGGAAAACCTTTAAAAAGAAAAAAAAGAAAGTTTTGTAAAATTCGCGAGTACTATCAACCTCTTGACTGACGGACGATATGTATGGAATACCAGCAAGATACTTCCATTTGTTTTTAATACCAGCAAGATACTTAAAAACAAATGGATTAAAGTCAATGTCTCCCATGTAACCAGAAAATTTATAGCTCGACAAAAAACTTGAAGCACTAAATAAAATTTGTCCGACAGTCAAAACTCCACCTAATATTAATTACATGCCGGATTGACAGACTAACGAATTTCTTGAAAGGCCCTTTAGCTTTGCCAAATTGAATCATGCTCTAGACTCTAGCAACACTGACTCGTCCCCGGGCTTAGATGGAATAGATTACTTTACGCTAAAAAAATTACCGATAAAATACAAGCTGCTCCTCGTAGATATATTTAACGAAATGTATAGTTCTAGCGATTTTCCAATCGATTGGAAAAAATCTTATGTACATTTGATTCCGAAACCCGAGAACAAAGGATACAGGCCTATTGCTCTCACCTCGTCCCTTTGTAAACTATTTGAAACACTGATAAAAAACAAATTTCAATGGTGGGTAGAATCCCAAAATATACTACCGAACAGTCAAAGCGGTTTTCGCAAAGGTCAATCGTGTCAAGATAATCTACTAAATCTAACTATCAGTGTTCAATCAGCTTTTCAACAAAATAAAGACATGTACACTGCTTTTCTTGATGTTAAAGGCGCGTTCGATAATATAAATATTAGAATATTACTCGATAAACTTGCGAAAATTGGATGCCCTTTAATATTAGTTAAATTCATTAGCATTTATTCCTCAAATCAATAAAGTTAAATCACGGTGTAATAGAGCATCTAACATAATCAAGTATCTACAAGGAATCTGGTGGGGAGCGGACCCATCCACGCTACTCAGCCTTTATAAAAGTTACGTTAGGTCTATTCTGGAATATGGCATTATTGTTTACTATCCTACGCGAAAAGACCAACAGGAAAAACTGGAGGGTATCCAACACAATGCAATAAGACTTGCACTAAGATTCCGTAAAACGACACCGACCAAGATTTTATTAGCTGAATCCAAAATACCATTCATTCATGAAAGGGCTAGATTTCTAGGTAGCACGTACATCTCCAAAAAATTTTCGAACCAAAGCTTACAGCGAATAAATCCGTTAAAAAATATTATGCGTTAACTGAGAAGAGCAAAAGAAAAAGAAAACGTCTATTTGAAACGTGCATTCAAAACATATCTTGCTCAGCTGATAACATAATTAAATCGAAGAATTACAACATGTACACATATAGTTACGATGTAGTCATGAGACTAGATAAACAAAATAAAAATCTGAGTAAGATAAGTGATGAACTGGACTCTCCTTGTACCAATGTATTTTACACAGACGGTAGTAAAAGTCCTACCTCCTTGTCGACCGGGTCAGCTTGTGTAAACCCAAAGAAAAATATTGTTCTCAAAAGGAGCTTATCGAAAAAAAAACATCAGTTTACACGGCGGAATGTATATAGCGGTAAGGGACGCATTAGACTTAGCGCTCAACAACACCGATGTCTGTAACATTGTTTTGTGTGATTCGCTGAGTGTACTTGAAAGCCTGCAAAGGCCTCTTTTCAACATCAAAGCCAATTTCTACTTATATGAAATAAAACGCAAATATCTAGAATTCCAACAACAAAAAGTGAAACTAGTAATATCCAACTTTACTGGATTCCCTCTCACTCAGCAATCACAGGAAACGATATCGCTGATACACAAGCTAAACAAGCGGCGAATTGTAGGCCTACAGACTTAGACAAGCTAAAGTTTACTGACTTGGTGAAAAAGTATAAATTTGACATGTATAAAAATACAAATGATACACTTCTTAGCGTTGATCCTGACAAAGGAAAAATTTATTTTGAAAAATTCTTCACTGACTCCAGAAAACCATGGTTTTACAAAAAAAGGATAGCGAGAGACCTTATTGTAACGATCAATCGACTCCGTGCGAATCATTACAATCTCAACGCCACTCTTGCAAGAGTGTCAATTGTAAGCGATCCTAGCTGCCCGTGTTCTTATAGCTCTCAAGACGTAGATCACATATTATGGCACTGTCCTTTATTTATAGATCAGAGAACTATAATGAACAAGCAGCTAGTAGAATTAGATTTACAACCACCGCTCGGTATAGATGTCATAACAAAAGAACCCAACACAATAGCGTGCTCCTACATACTAAGCTTCCTGAAAAACTGTTCCTTGCGCATCTAGTACAACACTCATTGTAATCATAATTTATCGTCTTCAAAGTTTTTTATCACATACTTATCTATATTATTTCAATTATAATTACTGTACATCCTATTTTTTTGTTGTTGTTGTATAGCGAATAAATCTGTATGATTTGAAAGCTTAATAAAAACAAAAAAAAAAAAAGACTTTTTTATTGTTCTTTTCTCGGAGAACTTTTCACCTCAGGTTTTTGTTCCACGTTGAATATTATACGTACATTATTATTCTACTCGCATTGCTATTACTACGTATAATATGCGTAATGTAGCGTACACGCAACCGCCGGAGATTGATTCTATTCATCCGATTACCAACTTCATTGAAAATAAAAAATTCATATAATTTTGTCATCATTAATCTTGGTATAAGAGTATAAGTATAAGAGACAATTTGTGGACATATATTGTTTCTGAAATTACTTCGATCTCACGTTCTTTCGAAAAAAAAAAAAAAAAAAATTAGCTAATACGTTCGGCAGGGATGTCTCTTGTGCGTTGCCAATTTCGCTTCGCTCGTGTGTAAACCCCACGCGAGACAAGAATCTACTTTCTCGCACTAGTTAGCTAATATACTACGATCGCTAACTTTCCTGGAAATGTTCAGTTGTCGAAGCAACTTTTTCAGTGGGTACTTACAAGTTTCTCTTGCGTACGTGAAATAAAATTCAAGATTGAAGTATTCGGTTGGTCAATGCAAATAGTTATTTAGGGGAACGAAGGTGAAAATTTTGCTCTCCCTTCGTTCCCGAAATAAATTTTAAAGAATACGATTGCGATGCGACTGAGCTTTGAAATAATTCAAATGGCACGCTTGAAAATTCTTTCCAACGACGTGTATCCCATCAGTGGAGCCTGCATTTTATTTGGCGCGTCAAGTATTGTACGTCTAAAACGCGGCTGCTTTGTACATCGCACATGCACGAATTATGTAATTTCGCGCCGATTCGCGCGAACGGACGCCGTCGTCGGAGCTTCGGCACGATTCGACAGCAGCCTTAGTCGCACATCGGGCCGGCGACAGTGGCCTCGAGTTGCTTATTTTGACTAGTAACGTCGTTGGTAAGTTTTGATCATGGTGCACTTTCTTTTGTAGTTTGCCATTCTACGACATATCTTTTCAACTAAGTCGCTGACAAACAACCGTAGAAGTCGAGGAAGCACATTGTCAATTTTCTTCATGCATTTTTCGGTTGTTTTAGATAAAGTGATTTGAGCCAAATGTACTAGTATTATGTTCTGAGGCACTTAATTGAGTATTGTCATATATTCATTATAATAAAAACAAGAATATGTAGGCATCAACTAGCATCACTTTTTTTAATCGACGCATGACTTATCTTACTTTAATTTCAAAGTACGTGAGAAGAAAAATGTCATGTTGCGCCAAGTTACGCCTATAAAATCGAAACTTTTTTTTAAAGATAAGATGATTTTTCACGAATGAAGCTGTTTCAGGAATAAATGATATATTTCAAAATTTGTGTTCTACGTGGTCACGGCTCGACTTTAAGAGCCGATGCTTTTCATCTGTCGATATACACGACTTAATATTTCATTATTCTTCTTTATGAGAATTGTTTACTAAGCGTTTAAATTCATTACTCCAGGCGGACATTAGGGTCTTTCAAAAATTATTAATAGCTTATATATGTATACAATGCTTCGAATATAAAATACTACGTTTTTTCGGACTACGATCCACAAGTTGACATTTTACGAGAACACAATGATCGCTTAGTTTTGAAGTAATATTTTACCTGTAATAATATAAGCGGAACATGCTATAATAACTTTTAAAAATGCCAACAATAATCAAATGTTTTATTTGCAGCTTGACTAATATAACCAACACTCTTGAAATATCAGAATTTTAAATTTGAACAGGTGACGCATTTTCTAATGTTTTAATTATGTATCGAACCGCGGCCATAGTCATTTGTCCATGGTTCCATATTCTATCATAGTTGTGTCAAGAACGAAGTATCGCTTACAGTCGTTTTGAAGGATGAGGTTGAACCTCATCCTCCCAAATGCAAAACTAAACGCGAACCGACGACTCGATCATCGACAACTTGGAAAAATGCGGCCTAAAAGTCAAATGTAAGCTGCTGATTGTTTGGATACAAACGGTTGTGACGTGGATACGACAACGCCTGCAAACGTAAACACCGCACACCGGTCCCTACAACGATACTGTTAACGTAAAGATCTATGTGTACATATCTTTTTTTGTAGATCTACTTTGGCTTTCGAACGAAAAGTGCCGCTACCGATTCTATTTTTCATTTAACGTAAATAAAACTCGCAGCGTGAAACTTTTCCAGCGACTACAGTAATAACAATATTGCATTATATCTTACACAAAACTTCATTCGAGAAATGTACCGACATCTATTCCGCAAAGTTTTAAATAATGATATTTCTTTCGTATTCAATAACGTTTCATCACGTAAGATGTAATGACTTAATGAGAATTATACGTAAGTCTAGTTATTGAACAAGTTGACTATTTGTAATAAAGTTCAAGTTTATAGGTGAAGCGCAAACAAGAAAATATTGCACAGCTGCAAGAACTGATTAAGCATATAATTGCCTTTGCTGAGGACACCAAAGGTCATATGAAATTGTCTCATTTATTTCTTTGGTGTCGCGCTGTACCGATACATTTAAAGTGTATTCATTGTATTATTTTTGCATTCGATACATTATTGTCTTATAGATTTTGGATTTGACTGAACGGCAAGCGAACAATTAATCGAAGAACTAATTTTAAGTTAATATATTAATTTTAAGAACAAGGAGCTGTTGTCCGTGTTGCAACGCTATAAGTGCACTGAATTCGATTTAAATAATTCCAAGTAAACGTTATTTTTAATTGGATAACAATATCATATGTGTAAGTATACTGATTCGATAAAAGATTGCATTATGTATGTAGATCAATAAATTATTAACCACGTCTGTACATATTTCTTTACCAGTAATTTTTAATCCAGCCGTATAATTGGAAAACCTGATAAATTTTGGGCATCCATATAAAGTTACGTGGGATATTTTGATTAAGTTGGAAAACTAAGGGAAAAGTGTTTATTTAATTTATAATGGCAAAACAATTTCATGATTTAAAGAGGATAAAATTTAAAATACATTATTTTATTCATTCATTATATCTAATATTTATTATAAGAATTTAGATACATCGTAACAGACATTCACTCTAATAGCAGACATAATCAAACTGTTATTATGCCTTTTGTAAAGCACAATCCGTTCAATATTCAAAAAAGTCTCATAGAGATAAAAGTCGAATCTTAGAGATTCCAATCAAGTTTTAACAGGCAAATATCGTTAATATTTTATTGAATTTGTTTTTGGTCAAAATTTCGAATAATTAAAAAACCTTGTCATAATATACTGTTATTATTACAAGGAAGGCGCGTATTGGCGTTCAAAAAAAACATTGTCCATAAATTATAGGCAGACGCATTAAAAGGTATACAAAATTTCATTTTTCAGTAAAAAACTTCATTTTTTAGATATTGATCCACAGTCCGAGTTATCGGTGTCGGCACATATATAAGATAGATATAGAAAAATTGCGTGTCTGTTTATTTTTGGTTTGCACATGATCATAATACGCTTTCATCGCGAATATTTATTAGACATAGCATTATTCACTTTGCACTTTTAGTATGTTTTATAAATTACATTCACAAAACTAAATAAAATAAAAATTACAAAGTATTGTTGTCTTTTAAATCCTTTTTCTGTTTGTTACTGGTAACATTCATTACTTTTATGTAACAATTATTACATAATGTGTGCAACCGTATTTTAACAATAATGATCCATTACATACCAGTTATTAAGTATATGATAGTATCAACTGCATAATGATATAATCTCCGACGAGTGTTTTTAATATTAATTATGGTTATTTTGGTCAGTAGTCTAATCACGAAAGCGGAAGATGCGAATAGACCTACGTACAAGGTTTTCAGTATTCTTAGTGAATATGAGTGGTAGTGCCATAGTGTTACAGTGCAGTAACATGTTTTCTCATTTCAGTAAAGAGAAAGAAATGAATCAAATATACAGTAGCAACACGTTGAATCAATTCGCCGAGGAAGTAATAAAAATAAAATAAATCAATGTGGATACGAACATTTACATACGATAACAATTTTAAGGAAAAACATTACATATAAGATGATAAAAGTGAAATTCATAGTAGTACCTAAAGAAAAAACAGTGTTGTTGAATTTTCTCTCACTCTATAATACGATGGTAAAAACATTTTTAAATGATAGACAACCAATCAATAAATCGATCTTTAATCCAATCAAGAATAAAATATAGAGCTAGTCAACTCGATCGCTTTGATCTGAAATTTTTTTGTCGCTGCATGATTTCTCTTAACTTTTGATTCTCGTTCACAGGTACGTAGATGATACTGTTTTACCAGAAACCACCAGCGCTGCGTCCTCCTGGTGGGTTATTTACGCGGATACTGGATCGTGGAGCTTCTTTAGTATCGTCTGTAACATGAAAAATATGAAATTTTGTTTTCTAGTGAAAAATAATTTGTTATTAAATATTTTATTGCGATGACATGGATATCAAGATTCGTTACTTTTTTTTCTTTGGGTTAAGTACAAATGTGAGAAAAATGAACCACGTTTCTTAAGCTATAAGTGTGGATTTTCCTTACCTATCGACAATTAGTAACTATTTATGATATGAATGCAAAATATTCAGCGTTTAATTCATTATACAATAAAACCAACATAAATCACTAACAACAAGTTAATAAGTAGTTTGTTAGCAATGAAATAATATCCTGCCCCTCTCAAAAAAAAAAAAAGAAAACACAAATTACCACCGGCAGAAAAACTTGAGTCCATGAAGTTAGTCCCTTCTTCTACCTTATATCCTTGGTGTGATGGAGCAGTAATGGCCGAGCGAGGTGGTGCTAAGTTATCATCTTTCGATTCGTAATAAATTGAGTTATATTAATAAAAAAAATGTTGTGCGTACAAAAAAAAGTTGAAAGCAAGAAAACCAAAGAACCGGTTAACTGAATTAATGAAAAAAAAAAAAAAAAATAAATAAAAAAAAAAAAATAAAAGAAATAAAAGTACCTCCAAGAGAAAAGGTTGACTCTTGTAGATCCCTTTCTCCCTCCATCCTAAATCCCTTGTGTGACGGAGTAGCGATGACGGCGTTCGGTGGGATGAAATTGTTATCTTTTATTTGATTGATAGATTAGTAAAACTAGATGACAGGTGTCGTTGAAAAAACGTTTATGAATTTTGTTAAAATATATACGTCTGATGAAGAATCTCGTGCTTTGGTTTAGTCATAAAAAAAAGAAAGCAAGTTAAAAGTTGCTTCCTGACGGTTTCTCTCGATTTGAAAGCCTTTTCAAGCAATGATGGAGTAATGGTTAAAAGATGAGATATTACGACGAAGCTAGTTTATTCGTTTAATCGTAAAAAATATTGAAATGTGTGTTGGCGATTATTACTAAAGAGTCGAAAACGCGTGCTGAAGGTAATCGTCTGAATTTGTTCCAGGATATTTTTGGAGTTGCGATGAGCAGACTTGAATTGCTGCAAGAAGCTTATGCTTTTTAATATGACAGTGATACCTACCACTGATAGAGAAAGTTGAGTCTTGAAGGTTCCTCTGGCCTTCCATCCGGGGTCCCTTAACCGAGTGCGTAGAGATAGCCGAGTTTGGCAGAGTTGGCGCGCAGGGCAGAACCTTGGGCCCGACGAACTCGTTGTCATAGTGGTTACCATTGGACTGGCCGTTGTTTTTGGCCGCGCCGTCGAGGGCAGCCCTCGCGGCGCGCACCGCCTCGACTTTCTTGGCGAAGACGGCGTCCTCTTCGGCGTACCGGCGTGCGTCCGCCTCGGAGCGCGGAACTCCGCGGAGCGGCTTCTCGTGCTCCTCGATCGCTTCGTACACGTAGGGCGGATACGCTGATCTCTCCACGAATTTGCCGAAGCCGTGGACCACCTTCACCTCGCACTCCTCCACGCAGACGCGACCGCCCACGACGACGTACTCCGCGACCCCGTGGACCTCCATGCCCTGCGGGTACAAGCGCGACAATCGTCACTGCAAAGATAGGCCATGCTACGCGAAACATTGGCGTCGCGTGCACGGCTAGAAGCGCCGCTTGTCACGGTCCTACCGCAAGGTCCATCACTTCTTGAAGGAGCAACCGAATTGAGCGTGTGCCGTAATGGCAAACGAGCCGATCGATTGACTCATACTCGAGCACGCAGCGATCTAGCTTCATCGCGGCGTATAACTTTCACCTTTTAATTTGATTCTACGCGGCTTCTAGTTCATTTGAATTTTGGAATAATAACGAAAGCAAGTTTGACTCGCGATATTCGCAACGACGATCGGCGGCGCACACTGTGGTATTATATTAAAACATCAAAAGATTATATTCAAAATGAAATATCTCAACTTAGAATTGACCGATTTTTATAAAATCGATTTCAATGTAAAGCTAATTACTTATAGAATACAGGAAAACCTACAACGAGTGTCGAAATAGATTTCCTATCCTTCAAAAAGTTCGTGGAAATGCAAAATTTTTTGAGGCTGTAGATCTTTAGAGTAAAAATTAAAAATAATTGTTTTTAATAAGAAAATATAAGTTTAAAGATAATTTACTGAATAAATAGAAGTTGAAATTCATCATATATTTTTATAGAATTTTTAAGTACTTTAAACACCCAGAATTATAATTAAAAGTTCAATACTGTGATTTCCTTTGCGTGGCTTATTAAATACTTTTCAACTATCGGCCAAACAGAATTTTCATATTTAAATATAATTTTACCACCAAGAATTTGTTATTACCTGACATTTGATGAATTTCAACTTCTATTTATTCAGTAAATTATCTTTAAACTTATATTTTCTTATTAAAAACAATTATTTTTAATTTTTACTCTAAAGATCTACAGCCTCAAAAAATTTTGCATTTCCACGAACTTTTCGAAGGATAGGAAATCTATTTCGACACTCGTTGTAGGTTTTCCTGTATTCTATAAGTAATTAGCTTTACATTGAAATCGATTTTATAAAAATCGATCAATTCTAAGTTGAGATATTTCATTTTGAATATAATTTTTTGATGTTTTAATATAATACCACAGTGTGCGGCGGCGAACGCACGACGGACATTCCGAACTGACCTCGAAGATATTGAAGTCGACCGCCTGGTGATGTGTCTGCGCGCTGATGACGCGCTTTCGGCTTGGATCCCAGACGACGATGTCGGCGTCGGAGCCCACGGCGATCACGCCCTTCTTCGGATAGACATTGAAGATTTTGGCGGCGTTGGTGCTCGTGACAGCGACGAAACGCGTCGGATCCATGAGGCCAGCGTGAACGCCTTTCTCCCAGACGATGCTCATGCGGTCCTCCACGCCGTTCACGCCGGTGGGAATCTTGGAGAAGTCGTCCTTGCCCAGAGCCTTTTGATCGGCGTTGAAGGTACAGTTGTCGCTGCCGGTCACTTGGAGCCCGTCACTGCGGGTTTTCGAAAGACACGTGTCAGATTGCGTCGGCAATGCTCGAGCTTGACGAACGGCCGTTTCGTCCGTCGATATTGCAATGGCTTATCGAGGTAATTTCGGCTAGCCGTGCTTGCGGGGGGGAGCGTCAGCGTTATCGTTATTATTCTTTTAATGCCGCTGCACAGGCCACGACTTGCTTCGAAATCACTGTACCCGCACACAATTGCGAATGTGCGACCGAAGCCTAGAAAGCTGAAAAGCTCAAAAACCTAGAGAAAGTTTTTACCGTTCGATTGCCAGTCGTATTTTGAAGCATCGTTAAACTCCGATTCCAAGTGTCCTCAGGAAAGACAACGTTGTTAAACTGCGCTTTCGTGAGAAAAAAAAACGAGTTGAGAATAGCTCCATAAATTCAATCATCGCGTTTTCTCCTCGTCAAGCACGACGACGCAGTCGTCGTTGTACCAAGAAACCAGATTAATTTCTAATCGGCACGCGCGCATTCCGGGATCGTCATGGCACAACGACGACGGAAAAAAGTTCGCCAAAGAAAATGCGCTTTCTTCGTTGGGATTTCTCTGTCGCGCGTCGAGGCAATCTTCAATCGAGAGCAAGCGGAATCGCTAATTGTCGCTGCGTCGAGACAGAAGGTGAAAAAGAAAAGGAAAAAAAAGAAACTAGTCGAGGAGAGGAAGAATTCCAGTACGAGAGAGATACGTCGGACGATACGCCCTGCGAGAAGCGATGGCCTAATGCACAATTCGAAGAGGGCTCATCGTTCGACGCCTAATTACGAGCAGAAATTGTTTTCGAGGCGAAAACATCGAAATGTACGTCTGTAATTCCATCGAAGGAAAGCTCCGGTGCAACGAGTTCTTTCCCAAGCAACGGGTTCTCCACCTGCGCAACGTCAAAATTAGAGATCAGAGAGGTCGTCGAGGCTGCTCGACAGCTTTCCTTCCCAAATTCAATGTGTGCGGCGATCTTCCGTCCGTCAAGCGATCGCAGAAACGTCCGATGATCGGTGTGATACTTACTGAGCCAGCTGCTCGCAAAGGTAGGTGGGCGTTGTAGGATCGGGCCTGAGCGGCGGCGAGGTGACGAGGCGGCGAGCTTTCACGGCGTCCTTGCCGTACTGGGCCGAGCCGTCGATGCCGAGCGACGAAGCTAACGGCTCGCCGTAAAGAGCCGCGCCGTCAGCGCGACGAGCTGCTATCACGTCGGCCGCGGACTTACTCGTCACCGCCGTCACGTACAGCGGGCAATTCAACTGAGCAGTGCGTTTTTCGACAGACATGTAGTTAATCGTGTGGGAAAAAAGGGACACAGAGAGAGAGAGAGAGAGAGAGAGAGAGATAGAGACAGACATAGATAAGTAGATAGAGAGAGAGAGAGAGAGAGAGAGAGAGAGAGAAAAGACAACGACGCCACCGTTGAATACACTAGAAATCTCGGGCCGTTTTCGCAGGCGACGGCACCGTTTCGCGCGCGAGTCAGAGAGGGAGATAAAGCGACGCGAACGAAAAAATGGAAGCGCGGGCTTCTTTGTCTCGAGTCGCGCTCGAAAGCTCGGCGCGGTCGGCGTGCGGAAAATCGTTCTCGCGGCGCGCTACCTTATGATACGCCGATAAGAGGCGAGGCGAGTCCGCGCGTATCGTTGACTGTTCTCTCTCTCTCTCTCCTCTGCCCTTGGCTCCGATGAAAGCGATCGAGATCGGCTGACGAGGAGGTCAATGTATTCCGCGCCAGGCAAAAGAACGATAACTACGATAATCGCGGGCAAGGAAAAGGCGCCGGGAGAAGGCTTTGCGGGTTCGCGCGCACATTCATAGCGACGTGCCACATTGACAAATTTTCCAAGACGACACCGAAACGATCGGCACGAACTACAGGTGAAGGAAAATCTTGGCGAGAGAGTGGGAATAAGAGATAGAGAGAGAGAGAGAGAGAGGGAGAGAGAAAGAGAGAAATGAAGAACAATCAAACTATTCTACTTTCTAAACAGACACTCAGACCAACGACAACGAATCGTGAAATCTAACAAAAGATAAGCATATCATTCGGCCGACAGCTGTCGCACCGATACACCTATCACACACAAACATGCTCCCTTTACCACAGCATAGAACAATAAAAGAATTCTCGCGGAATGTAGCGTGCAACGTACAATCAACTGGCATGCAACTATTTGCCACACGCACATACTTCAAATGTGAACCGTTTACAGTATACGTGTCGGCATCCTCTCCGTTTCTATCAATTGACGGCGATGACAGGATAATCTCGCGATAAGATTCTTTTTTTTTTAATTTTGCTTCTTTTATTGCTCGCCACGGTTTGCACGAATACTCCGTCTTCGTTGTTCCCACATTCTTTTTGTTCGCTCGCTAGGTTTATTTTTGGCGATTGGTCATAACCGATCAATATTCCGTTTGCGCAATTCGCATGCGAAAAGTTGTCGGTTGACCGTCGAATTTTTATGCTCGCGAGACGACCAACTCGCCGCGTGTCCCCCGTCGCGAAAGTCGCCGCTGCGATATCAAAGCCTGTCGTGTACGATGGCATCGAGCGACGACGCATGCAGGAAGTGCACTCGCGAGAGCCGGTCGAACTTGACCTTTATTGGATGGGAATGAACGTCAATCGGACGAGCAATTTTCACGCTTGCTTGGACTTCGGCTCCGCGCTCGCATATCGGGCCGAGGGCGAAAGCTTGCCGTGGCGCGTGCTGCTCTTCTTATCTCGTCGATTGTCGTTTTCGCCCGAGCATATTGTCATCGCGCGAAAGGCTGATTCGCCGGGACATTGGGTAACAGGCAACGCTTGTCCCGCACAAGCTGATTCGGCCGAAGCCGTCGGCGAAAGAAGCGAAGAATAGCCGTAGCTCGTACGTCCCACGCGGCCGATATTCCAAAACGGAGATAAAACGTCGGCGCCGGAATTCCCCGTTCGAAGGCGACATCGCCGAGAGGCCGTGGTCGCAGCGACGCGGCGACACTGTTGTTGAACAAACGCATCCGCTGCAATTACAAGGCAGCGCCTCGCCGGCTGGAGACGGCGGCCCAATTAGCCGACTCTGCCCGCCCTCGAGCAGCAGCCGAGATGGGAGAGAGTACGCGTGGAGACGCTGCCTATGCGCTTTGCCGGCCAAGCGGCAGGCGAGAAATGTCGCGGCGCTGTCTACCTCCACTGGCGCGCGATCGATGCCCCGCTGCGATGCGTGACGCGCCTTTTATCGTCGGACACCGGGCTTATCTTTTTCATCCTCCCGCGCACTCGCCGCCTTGGCGTTGGATAGCTCGAGCAAGCGCGCGCGTTCGAACTACATTATAAGTAACAACGGCCGATGTATCGCTCGAGGCAGCGTCGAATGCGACGCCGACGCTATCGCCTCGACAACGCGTATGAAACGCAGTAGCCAAGCTTACCCTTCTAATGCGTAACCGGCACTTCCTCGTGCATAGCACCTGCAAAGAGAAATCTCGCGCGCGCAGCAGGCGAGCGGTGGGCGGAGGGCGGGGGGAGGGGAGGGCGTAGAAAAAAAAAGTAAAAACGTTGTCGACTGACCTGACGAGTTTCTTCATAAGCGCAAGGGGAGTGTCAGAGTCAGGCCTGAGCGGCGGACTGACAACGTGTCCAGCAGCGTGTCGCCAGCATTTGTGAGAATAGTGAGTGCCGTCGGTACCCAATGCCGCAGCCAGAGTCTCGCCCCAAACGACGCCTCCTTGGTCGCGCGCACGCTCGATCGCCTCGGCTGCGCTCTTACTCATCACGTGCACCACGTACAACGGACACTTGGTCTGCGATTTGTTTCAGATGTAACGCAAGCTGCCGCGCGGGTGGCCAGCTGCTCGCCGCCACCGCCGCCGCCGCCGCCGCTGCTTGCAAGCTGAAATTGGTTGCGAGCCTTTTTCCGCTCGTCGCTCTCCGAATTCATCGATTCCGCGGCCCGAACCCAAACCCAACCCAACCCGTCAGCCAAGTCCATCCGGCTCGTCTTCGCACGTCGATCACTGACATTCGTCGGCTAGACTCCCAATTGACTTTGACAGCGCTCGATCGGCCAAGCGCTGCTCGGTAAACGATGCTCCGACTTGGCCGAGGTGTAGAAGAAGAAGCGAGGCTCTGTACGGAAAGAAGGCGTCGTCGACAAATCAAAGCAACTTGTCAAGCAACGCGCTCGCGAGTGTCACACAATCCCGGAGATCTATAAGGCATTGCCCACTTAGCGTTGCAGCGGCGGCGGCGGCGACGGCGGCGGCGGCGGTGGCAGCAACGAGCCTGCAACTTCTTGTCGTTCTTCCTTTTCGTTCCTTTTGAGCCGTGTCTCCGCTTCTTATCGTTAATGGACAATTCACTCGCTGGAGACGGCCAATTTGGCGCGCTCGCAATTTTTTCCGTCCGCCGTACTCGCAGCGTTTGCCGGGAATAAGATAAAAGTCCGTGGCGACTTTTCTCCTCGCGTGTCGTCGTCGTCGTCGTGGTTGCGCAACAAGCCGCGTGAACGCGAAGCTCGGCGGCGAGATGCGCCTCTCTCGATAGCAGTGTGTTATTTTTTGCATGCATGCCGATAAACAGCAACGAAAGAGACTTTCGAACTACAGAAAGGTCAACTCGACTACGTAATTACACATACTTTATCTACGTGCGGCGTGAAAGATATCGACATTACACTGCTTGAACAGCGAAGGTGAAAAGAAACGAAAAGGAATAAAGAGCTGAAATGTGTATACAGACAGACATAACGAGCTGTAATGTACGTGCGGACGATGCAGAAGGAAAGGAGAAGTTGAACGCGATAAATTTATTGCATCCGCATAATATGCAGCGAAGGGGGAGCTTACGCGCGAGAGAGTATGCCGCGCCGCATAGGTGCGCGCGCGTGCAAACGCGGCTTGCTAACTACCGGTAGAGGCACTCACCTGATTCGCAATGACGCAGGCACGGTTAGTCGCTTCCGCTTCGACCTCCTCGGGCCGTGACATCTCGTGGCCCTCGGGGCCCGTCACGCCGGCCGCCAACAGCTTCTTCGTGTTCTGCAAGCCGAACGATCCGATGAGGCCCCATTGTGTCTTGGTCCAAGCCCAAATTCGCGCGCCACCATCGCGATGACCTCTTGTCCCGCTAGCCGACGCCATTCAATTCCGCCCGCGCTCCGGCCGACCGACCAAGCGTCCGCGAGTCTCTTTTCACGGCGTCGCTACCGAATCAACTCGGCCGGTAGCGAAAATTCAAATGAAGAGCCCCCCCCCCCCCCCCCCCGTGAATTGCAGCTAGCGGAATGGCTGTCGTTATGCATACGCGATGAAAACTAATATCGCTCGCGTTGGGAGGGGAGCCTTAATCCCTCCAATTATCCGACGAGAGCGCTTAATGTACCGGCACGTCTTTGCCGTGCCATTGTTCCTCCGTCGAATATGAAATTTAAATGACGGTCTACAATACCTCGTAAATGATGTCACCGTTTTCGGCGTGCACCATCGCCACGGCGCCCAAGCTCTTGCAAATCTTGAACGCCTCGATCAGATCTGGATCCCTCAGCATGAACAAGTCGCGGTACGCCATGAAAAACTTGAAGCTGTTGATGCCGTGTTGCTGCACCAGCGTCGCCATTTCCTCCCTCGTCTGTAAGCATTCGCGTTTTTGTTGCTTTTTTTTTCTTCTCTTCGGCTTTCCATTCGCGCGCGCTGTCTCGAGTGCGATACGGCGCGGTCGGCAGTTCCGAGCTCCGTCGAGCGAGGACATTAGAGAACTTTCGGTTAACGTCGTTTCTTTCGCTGCCGAGAGAATCATTTCGAGAGTCTGATTACGCGTTCGAATGCGCGACATTTCTGAACATTTGGACGCGAAACCTCCGAATGCTTAGCATCGAGTGCTCGAATTTTAATTACGAATGGCAAGAAAGGCAGTTTTGTATACTTAGATAGAGCAGACCGTTCAGTGTTCACGTTACTCAAGTAACAGAGCATCGAGACAATCCCAGTTGTCAACATGATTTGACAGCGGTGAAATCACATTGACCGCGAACTTCAAAGTAGATACGAGTTCTCATCGTGGAAAGATAAATCCAACTCTTTTGTACCGAACGTCCGATAGCATTGTCGATGGAACGGGACTGAATATTTTAATTTTCAAAGTAGAATGCAAAAGCATTGTTGTTTTTTTTTTTAATTTTATTGCCAGAAAATAAAGATTTTCCGCACGGTCAAACGGGAAGTTGCGTCAAAGCAGCGAACCATAAAGGCATAAAACTATTACTTTCTAGGTGCCTGTCGCGCGCAGCGAGAAATGTCAAACGAAATCAATATGCACACGTGACACCAATTTAGCCGCGGCTATTTATTGGATTGACGGCAATCCGATTGTATCCCTCGATCGAACGAAAGCAATAATTGTTGCGGTGTCGTCCGCGCCGCAATAGTGAGCGTCGAAAAAGTCGAGCTCGCGCTTAACTTCCCGAAAAGGTCGGCGACGCGGGGCGCATTAATAAGCGGCTGGCGCGGCGTCGTCGTCGTCGTCGTCGTCGTCGTTCCAAGAGAACGGAACCCGAGTCGAAATTAGCATTCGGCGATCTCACGAGGAAAGAAAGAAGGAAAAAGACATTCCTGAGCGCGCGTTTTCTCCAATTAGCGCGCGGACGCGCATTGTCCTCGGCGCGCGCGATTCAAGGAGTGTGAGAACGCGATCTGACTCGCGGCGCGGATTTGAATGGACCCGCGCGCGAGCCGCCGTGCCTTCCTTTCCGATCGCGCGCGAGAGCGGCGCGTTCTCAGAGCAGTCGGCGGGAGTGGGGTATCGCGCTCGAGGATGCTCGAGAGCAGGTCGTTGGGGCGCGTTCGGGGAGAAAGAGGTGCGCTCGAATACCTGCTTGGTCCACTTGGTGACGGCGACGTGCAGAGCATAGTCGCAGCAGACTTTCTCGTCGGCCGTGACGCGATACCTCTCGTAAGCCTCCAGCAAGCCCTCGTCGGGCTTTGGTATGCAGAAGTCGATGACCATGGTGGTGCCACCGGCGACGGCGGCTTTGGTGCCTTGGTAAAAGTCGTCCACGGTGGTGGCGCCCATCAGCTCCAGCTCGAAGTGAGTGTGGGGATCGATGCCACCGGGCATCACGTACTTGCCCCTCGCGTCGATCGTCCTCGTGCCGCCCGGTATGATGAGGTTGCGCCCGAGCTGCCTGTTTTCGACGTTCGAGCGTACAAACGTTAGCTGGTCGCGCATTCGAAGGCGTCCGCGCATAGCTTACTTGATGATGCCGTCCTCCACGTACACGTCCGCGTCGAACAGGCCATCCTCGTTCACCACCTTGCCGTTCTTGATCAGCAGCCGGTTTTGCGCGCTCTGCAAGCACACACAGGTTAATTCGCCGCTGCACGGTAATCGAGTCCCGCGCGCGCAGCTTTCCTGCGCGAGCCGACGCGCCGCGCGAACAACGCCAGCTTTTGCGTAAACCCCACCAGCGATACGATCCGGCTTCTCGAGAAAGTTAGGCCGCAATTAGGGCACGACTGATAAAGTTTCTCTTGGAACTTATCAGCTGCCGGTTATCCTTTTCGAGGAAGCTTGGCGGCTATTGCGTTTTTCTTGTTTTCATCATCCGCATTGTCTGGGTGAGCAGAAGTGAGCCGACTGAAAGCCGTCGAACAATGTGCAGCTTCCGATCCAACTTTCCTCGACGAGACAAAACGAAATATCGTATTTTGCAAACTCCTCCACGAGCACAGAACAGTCGCGTGCATCGATATCCCGCAAGCCTCGCGTAGTCAAGAAGTGGCATCCCCCTCGCGTAGTCGACGTCGCGACGAACACTTGAATTCCATTTCCGGCCCAGACACCCCGTAACTTTCTCTCCGCCGAGATAAAGATTTTTTCCCTCCGCGTGTCTCCCTCCCTCGCGACTTGTTTGTCCCTGAGAGAGGAGCGATTTCTCTTGCCGCGCAATTTCACGCACTCGGCGCGGGTGGATCGCGCGCGACCGTGACAGGGAGCGAACGAATTCCGCGACGGGGGGCGATCCAGTCGCGCGAAGCTACGGCCGAGTCGAGACGCGCGCGCGTGGCCGAAGCAGGGCGCGGCGCGCGCGAGCGCGCGTCGATTAATACTCGACTTCCTGCCCCGCCGACTACGTCAATTAGCCTCTATTATCGATGCTCGGCCAGTCGCCACGGCACGAGTTCGCGCGCGATATACGGCCCGCCAGTCGTCGAATCGAACGTGCTTTTCCTCCCGACCCCCCCGCTCCGTTTGCAGGACCGAGCGAACGAGAGAAAAGCTAGCGCGCCCGGCGAAGTCACGAACCGGCAGGCCTTCGGATTGGGCGAGAATAACGGTGCGAGAATCGCGGCCAGCGCTCGCGGCCGCGTACGACGTCCGCTCCGCGATTTCGTAACGCGCGTTTGCATTATTTTTGCGTTTCCGCTCTCGCGCGCCCGACAAGCCGGGAGGTCACTTCAACGTGGGATGAGAACGGTATCGCGTGCTCCCCTGTAGGCGGACGACGCGACGCATCGGCAATGTCTTAATCGAACTGCACAGGGCGACGACATTCCGCTCGTCGGAGCAGCTGCTCCGAGGCTCGGCGTCGAGCGAGTGCCCACGTGCTAAAATTTGTTTAAGGGTATGGGGGGGGGGGGGGAGGCGTGCAAGCTTGTTACTCGGTGACAAGTTCTCCGCGCAATGGAATCCGAAAGTGCTCGCCGACGAAATGCGCCAATCGACTGGCCAAGGCGAAGCTCTATAACACGAGCAGCCGAATATTATTTATCGACGATGCGTAAACAACAAATAAAAAAAAAAATAAACAAATTGCCGTGAGAACGAAAGTCAATATTGAACGACAGTAATAGGTCGACCGACGAAATCCAACGATTAACTACGCGCTGCACAAAACGGGCGTTGCGATGATTAGACACTTCCTATACTTATTGCGGAGTCTCACAGGCGCTACGGACACGAACCGCCGGGCGTGATTGAGGGTTATCGAGCGCTTATAAATTGCCACCAACGCGCCGCTCTGCAATTTCGCCGCGGCCGAGTTTCGCGACGAAGGGCTTTGCCATCGAGGCATTGGCCGATGCGAGACCGCTTTGCACGGGCGCGCGCGCGAGTGGCTGCACCACGTCGCGAAGTGTGAACGGACATTGGCGAACGTCGACGGATTGTGTGCGACTCGCTAGGTCTGGCGTCCCCCCCCCCCCTCTCCTTTACGTCAGATGTATTTTCGGAGCGCACCGCAGTCGCGATGGTTCATCAGTTAGCGCGGCTACACTTTGTTCGTCTCCTCGGGGCCCGTACAGTGATCATCTCTCGCCCGCGGCGTTCGCGCACACAGGGAATATTAATTGCTCGGCGTGCGTAGAATGCTGATTAATGGCGCAGCTCGTCGGACGCGACGACGGGGACGCCGTGAAAGCGCACAGTGCGTCTTGGAGCTAGAAATTCGTCGCTGGATTTAAATAGCGCACAAAACGGAGGGAGTCGCGCGCTCCCCACCAATTCGCTCTCCAAAGTTGCTCTGTTCTTTCAACGGGAGTCCGCGGCCGTTTTAGTGTCCACGTGTCGCTTCGACATAGCGTGCCTTTGTCACTTTTCCCACGGCCAGTTTCATTACAATGCCATGAAATTTCCTCAGGAGAAAGAGAGAGAGAGAGAGAGAGAGAGAGAGAGACAGGCGCCTACAACCGATAGTCGCTCGACAACGTCGTCGTTGGGACGCGTGCGAAGGGCGAGCGGCGCAAGTGTGTTTGAACTTTCGCCGCGGACACTTTGCATACTAATTCGCGTTGACAGCGTCGAAAGAAGCGGACAAGCTTCTCGTTCGGTTTTACCGTTTGCGCACTGTTGCAATAACTTCTCTCTCTCTCGCTCTCTTTTCACGATGTTTGCATTTTTCATAATTCCGAAAGCCCCAGCGATCGAGTTTCCGACAGACGGTGCGCTCGGATTTCCGGCGTGGCTTTCGCGTCGAATTAAAGCCCCCCCCCCTTCCCCCCGTGGACGCGAGCAGCGGCGCTGGACACGCGTAACGATGAGAATATATGATGCGCGAGCGCCGCGGGAGTGGAGGCCGCCGAAAGACGCGGAAGCGAGCGCGCGGAGCGTGAAGTTTTGAAAAGTGGCATTGCGCAGGAGAGAGGCCGCGCATGTATTAGCGGCGGTGGCGCGCGCGGGTGGAAAAGCGAGGCGGCCGCGCGGGCAGGTGCGAGGCGTTTCCGGCCGGCCCGGCGCTCATTTGCAAATGTGAATTAGACCGTGGACGATATCTGGCGCGCTGCCGCCTCCCATTAGCGCTCGTGCCTCGCCGTTGCTGCGCTTTTCTTCCCGGAGCCCAGCCGCGCGTGGCCCCCGGAAAAGTCCGAGGCTTTTGTTTAGTCAAGAGAGAGAGAGAGAGAGAGAGAGAGATGGGGCGGGGGGGGGGGGGGGGGGGCAGCGCGGTCACGCTCCGTTGAAGCCTCCGCCGCTGCATGCGAATACGGAAGCCGATGCGTGCAAGGTTGTACGCCGAACGACAAGGGTCCGATGTTAGTACTTCCAATGTACAATCAGATCCGAACGGCTCGGTGGTGCGCTGATTGCGCTTCGGAGAGCCAACCCGTATAATTGCCGGTGAAACATCGCCAGAGCAGGTCGAACGAGAGCCGAGAGAACAGAAAAGAAAAAAGAAAAAAAAAAAAATGGGCCGGCGGCGCTCGTTCCTCGCGTCCGGCGGTGCACGTGCCGCGCAAGCCTGCGAGCAAGCGGAAGGAGGCCGACGAGGAGGAGTCGCCGGGGCGGTACGGGTATATATCTGCGATTGCGCAACCAACCGCGCGCGATACGCCGCGACTGGTGGTGCGCGCACTTGCGGCGCGTCGCCCTCGGCCCACGGCGAATCGATAGTTCGTTGACACGTGCCAAGGCGCAGGCGTGCGCCGCACGCGCGACAGTGCTTTTTCGTCCTGCTGAATGGGAGGCTGAATGAGCGACGATGATTTATCGGACGCTGCCTCTTGTTTACCCCCCCCCCCCCCCCCCCCCCGGGCTATCTAAACGCACACACGCGAGGGTCGCTTCCCTTTCGAGCCAATGTTGGCGTTGGCCATTGGGCCCTTTCCGGCATTCGAAATGACTGCGCATTCAGAGCCTGCCAGAGTAAATTAGCGCAGCGCCGGAGGAAGTCGAATCGTTTATGAACGCGAAAGAGAGTGCTCGAATCATAACATGTGTAATAATCAGCCGGAGAGAATTATTATCGAGCGATGTGTGCAATTGCCGGCACGACGGAAACGGGGTCGAATTCACGTTCGTGTGCCGCAGCAAAAAACACGGAAAGACTTTTGCTCACGTGTCGGTAATCTCGCAAGGTTCACTGTTTTTTTCTTCCAATAAGCGCGAGTACGCAGAGAAAAATTGATGAGCTGCTGATCACGCGCGAACGAAAAGAAGTGGAAAAGAAAAAAAAATAATAACTCGATATTTCAACGCCGAACGACATTGGCATCGAGCACGCGCGGATTAACTCGAACAATAATAACCAAGCGAAACACGAGCCTTTGAGAAAGCGGTGAGGAGCTGCGAGGCGAAGTTCTTCGCCGGGCAGATCTATTTGCGAAGAGAGCTTCCGCGGGCGCGGCGCGGAGAGAGCCGCAATCAATAAACGCGCGCAGCAGGTGAATCGCGGCTCGACGCATCAGCTGATTCGACAAGCATGGCGAGGATGGATTTCCAGTCTGCTCTCCCGCGCCGACCTCTTCCATCGGTGACCGGGCCTCTCGATCGTTCGCGCAGATGCGAAAAGAGAGTCGCAACGTGCCCGATAAAATGCCACGCCCGCCCGAACACAATTGCTCTTTATCTGTCATAACAATCATCGCGCGGCGAAGGCCTCTCGCCGGAATTCATTATCGCGCAGGTGGAATCGTTGCCTCCGCGCGCGTGCCCCCGCCAATCTTTATTCATTTATGATAACGAGGTGATCAATCGTGGCTGAGCGGCCCGAAAGGGCAGAGTATAGAAGCGTTTGCCGGTCAATCGAAGTGACGAGAGCCGAAGGGATTTTCCCGGTGTCGTACTTGCGGGAACACCCTAGCGCAAGAAGGACCAGTCTTTGGATATCTCTCCTCCCCGACACAGAGGGTGTTAGTAAAACGAGCTTTAACGGGTCAAGGGTGGAAATGACTCATCGCTGAATCACACCACTTCCTCTTTCACATTACTTCCCGCTTCCCGACATCTTATTATATAGTCAATGCAAACTCGAGAAGATTCATACCGTCAGCAATAAGTCGGTTAATGAAACAAGCGTAGTCATCAATTGCGAATACCATTATCATAAGTATTTTCACAACCAAGAGACTTTCAAGCTCATTCGGTGTGAAATCGCAAGACTACTTATAAAATTAGCACAGCACGAACCAGCTATGGCCAAATCAGCATCAGCTGAATAATTCTGTCTCAAACAAAATCTTATCAAGAGGCATAGCTCTGCGACTAGAGTACACATAATCACCGCGCTGGCGACGAAATTGGTCGTGAATCACGGTGTCGTTAATTAATACTTTACAGTTTCGTCGTCTTATCTCGTGGGCGCGCATGCAACACATCATAATGAGAGATATCGATCACACAAAACAAACCAAACATACGTGAACGTAGCTACCATCGCGTAATCGGGCCTTCAACATATCGCTGCATTACCGACGTTTTTCAATAACCCGCCAATGCCTTCCTCGCCGTGCTTTTCTCGAAAAAAAAAACCAATATTACCTACGGGATCCGCAAGATTGGAACAGAGATGTTGGAGACTGCGTGAAAAGTCAACTGCGAGAGAGCGGACGAGGCGTGCATGCTGTAAAGCCTGCCTCGATAAACAAAAACTTACGTAACCCCGGCGAAACGCGACGGCGTGCCCGCTTTACAACGTAAAGGCGCGCTGCTGGCAAGCGGATTTAAAAATAAAACTCGAGCCATGCACTATGCCGGCTAGTTCTATGCCTCCGTCGCTCTCGGCGTGCACAAAAAGCAGAATCGAAAAAACAAGCCCAACGGCAAGGCAGCAGGCGGCTCGCTTAGCTGCCTCGACGCGCAGAAAAGAAAGGTAGATTAGCGGCCGAGAGAGAGAAAAAGATTCGCACGATATTCTCCCCTGTCGGTCAGTCGAATTTATCGGCCGAAAGAGACCTGCGAAATTTTCAAAATGAGAATCCGTTGCTATTCAATGGGGCACCTGCTGCCTGTGTACCCCGCCCGCCGAACCAGGAGAAACAGAGAAGATAGCTATCGTTGCAAGCGATCGATGCGCACGTTACAGCGAGAAAGTATCGAGGCAGGTTCCGAATAATTGCAGCGACCCCGGCTTCGGAAACAATGCGAAGAATGACAAGAGTCAACTCGCATAATATTGGCAGACACGCAATATCGAAACTTTTTGAAACGCACGCCGAGCCGACCTAATATATAGGGCAGTGGGGTTAGGAAACATCGCGTACAGATTCCACTTCGTGAATTCGGAAAAGAAAAGAGCAGGTATGGCACCTACTTCTATGCTCGGCCAAGATCTATTTTAAAAGTCATCGCGCGGCTTTGCACAGCGCTCCCGCGCGCGCACAAAGGAAGCGAGTAGCGTGAGATCGAACCTGCAGGTGAATCGGAACTTTCTTGACCGGTGTGGCCATTGTCGTTGATGTTTACAGTAGAAACGAAGCGTGTAAAAGCAGAGGTGTAGCCCTGGCCGCCGTTGCGCGCGCACAAATAACAACGAAAGGAACGCACAGAAAAGTTGCTCGCGCACACGCGTCTAGCGATCGACTGAACTCAACTCGACGCCGCGCGCGCGCACCATCACCGCATCGACTCGCGCTGCGGCACAAGAGAGATGAGGCTCAGCGAGTAGCGAGGGGTGGGGGCAGGACAGCGGCACGAATTCACGTAGTCGTGTGCACGTGTGCGTTTGCATGTGTGTATGCGCGAGTTTCATAGATACATAGAGAGAACGGAGATTGTATAGAATGGCGTGTGACTTGGCGCACGGCAGTGTCGCCCTCTTTTTTGTTTATCATAACACATCTGCCGGGATTCAAACTGTTAGACTACGATTTATCGAATGTTTTCATCAGCTCTTTGACGAAATGTTTGTATATATGTGCTGCAGAGTTATTTTGGCAAATGACCACACAGGGGAAACTCTAAGGGAATGCAAAGTATCTTGCGAAAAAACTCGTCTTACCAAGCGTCATTTTACATGAGTTTTTTATTCGCCCGTTAATTACATTCCAAACAGCAAATGTTATGTATTTGATGCACATCAAGAACAGAGAGAGAGAGAGAGAGAAAAACTTGCTTTACCAAACTTAGAATGCAACTATCTTGCGACTGCCGAGCTATTAGCGCGATAAGTCACGAATACAAATGCATATCGAAGAATGTTGATCAATCAAGCTTGTTCGTTCCGCGATTTTCCGTTTTGCAAATGTTAGGTTTTCCTCGTTCGGTACAATATGTCCAATAGTAATTTTCAATATTTTGAAAAACATTCATGTACATACGTTATTTCATCGTTAAAAAGAAATAACGATAAACGCAGTCATTACCGCGCTAATGCGTAAATTATCACGTGGTGCATTAATTGGCATCTTTTTAAGCCAAGTTACCAAGTTAAGCCATTTAAACGCCTCGTGCGTGCGTTAAACACACACACACACACACACACACACACACACACACACACACACACACACACACACAAAATGGCATCGACGTTAATTGAGTAAAATGCTCGAGTTCGCACATCGCAACATCGGTGGAGCGGTGCTTATGCGCTCGAATTCCCATCGCTCACGTGAAACCGCTTTGCAAAGGAAAAAGGCTAGCGCGCGCGTGCGGTTCACTTGCGTCGCGGCACTGACGAGTGGTTGTTTATATACTCGTGCGTTTTACGAGCCGCCTCCTTTTCTCTCCGCGCGATGTGTCCGTCAGCACATCGCGCGACACTTGAACGACCATGGGAAAGCTTGCGGATCAAAGTATCAACGGGTCGAAGCGGTTCGCGGTCGAGTCGCGATATCGTCGTCAGAGACGAGGCAAACTTCCGAATTGGCACGCACGCGCATCGAAGATACGATCGCTCTCGTTTCCACACCTGGCCGCGTATTTCGTCTCTAGCTCGCGGCACTCGACCGACGACAAGCGCCGGAATCGCTCGATTTCTACTCTCCTCTCTCGCCCGCTTGGGTACTTTACCTCGGACGAAAGCTCGCGCTCGTTACACGGCCGCCGGCGAAAGTGCTTCGGTCGCACGATCTCGCGCAGGGCGCCTCTTTATTTTCGTGAGTGATCCGCGTTCAGTTGGGAACAGCGGGGGAAACGGCTTCCCGTTGTATTTTTAGAAGGCTCGCTATTTTTAAGTGCAGATGTTTTACGGCGGTGCCTTTTTTACTTTTACCAGCCGGTTTTACGTTCGATTTTCAGAAAAATCTCAATTCCGTTATTGAATTCATGCATAGAGAAGAGGAAGGGTTGGCTAACAGTTTGCATTGATAATTAAGTCATTGCCGGTAGGTGTGGCTTCAGACTCGTCGATGGATAAGCATCATCCTCGGTACCGTCAACAGAGAATGAATCACCTCATTGAAAATGCGAGTCATCAATTTTCCCAAACGAAAATTCTGAGGTTTATATAAGGGCAAAAAGGTCTTATTGCCAAAGTGTGATCACTTCGTTGAGTACTCTTCCGTACCGGCTGTACTTTCTTAATCTCCGATCCCAATAAAACTGGATTACACACCATAAAAGTCGGAACTAAAAGGTTTGCGTAGCGCACACTCTTATAACGCCTCTCGTACAATGATTTCATCATTAAGTGCGAACACTTTACGCCCGTTCTTTTTTTTCTTTTCTGTGCCGCAACATCATTCCGCGGCACAAATATCAAATCCGAGACACACAATAACGTCGCGTTTCAAGATGTAACCGCTGCCATGCATGTCATTGGCATCGGCCGCTTTTCTTTACGCGCGTGTCGCGCTCGCGTGCGAAAACTTGTTAACATAACGAAAGGCGTATAAAACGCGATGACTCCATGCGCGACAACAGCCATTTATGTACGTGAACTTTCTATTGTTGTTCCAAGAGGATTTTTCTTTTCTGGCTTAATGACGCTGTGAAAACATTTCATCCAGTCTCTACCTCTCTCTCTCTCGCCGGATCACGCGCACGCCAATCAATGCCGTACATAGAAAAAAAAAGTACAGCTTGTCCGACGAGATCTAATCTGCGATGCGCGCTTTCGAGCAATAGCTGTTTTATAGCTCGTTCGGGAGAAAATAAAAATTCACTCCCTAATGGCTTCACTGTTATTAACGTTATGAAGCTTATTGAAATCGGCAGATTTAATGAATGGAAATTTCCGAGAAATGCATAAAATCATTCAAGCGCAGTTTTGTTTATGTTATCTCTAGAGCAGTTCTTCGTCAGTAAGTTTTATTTAGAAGAAAGATAACATTACAGCAAAGTTAATAATCATATCGAGATGATTTTTAATTAATTCACTTTCAATAACAAAATTATGTCCGAGTAATCGTTGAATGAGAAAATACGTGCAATATATCAACGATAACATTTTTATAAATGTGATTCGGGTTTCGAAATCCATGCGATTCAACAAATCAATGAAATTGCTTACCTACTATTTGTTTATGATTATATCAAAACCTAAGACAAGGTAAATGTCAAATTACCTTATATGTACCTTGTAAATATAATTAATTGGCATTGATCGTTTTCAATACTTGCGCACAGTATATATTCTTCGATGAATTCATGTGATTTTTAAGTGATCTTTCGTCAGCCAGTTATTTTTGTAGCCCAATCATCGTCGTGTCACGCGTTTGTAATCCAATAACGGGGATTTGTGCTTGATAATAAGATAGGATTCACACCTTTGTATTCCTACAGTTACTGCCGCACGCAACTTTACCGTCGGGAAACTTCGGGTGCGCCTGAGAGCCCACGGAGTTCCAGCATTCTACGCTAGATAGCAGAGTGATATATATTTTATTTAAAAAAGTAGTTAACAAGTAAAGCCAACTTTTAAGGCTGACTATCGTATCAACCTTAAAAAATTGACCTTGCAACTTCCCTTTTATACTGAAAAATGAGAAGACAGGATGTGATAATATAGCTTTTAACCCATTAACGCCTGAATTGCAGTTCTTCAGTAGTCCATGTTTGAGGTAGTGCCAATCAACGTAAAAATGATAAAATTGTCTGAAAATTCATACTCGACTATTTTCGGGTATGCTCTTTCGATTGGCGTGGTTAAAAATTTAAAAAAATTTAAAAAACCATTAAATTTTGCAATTTAAATAAAAAAAAGCACGATTTTTACAATACATTTTTTTTTCAAACTCGATTTTCACCTGGAACCACCTGTTCATTTCACGCAGAACCTTTCAAAATCGTGCAATAATACCTCGAACTTAAAAGTTAGATTATATATGATAATAAATTTTGGCATAAAAAATTCAAAATGGCGCCCAAAATGGGTCAATGTCAGGGTACATTTTCATTATTTTTTTTTTCACGAACGGTCAATTTTAGAAAAAAATTGTATGGAATAAAAAGTGTTTAGAATCACTCAAAAAATACGCCTGAATTTTTTCAAAATAGTTTAAAGACTTTTTTAATTTTTTTAAAAAGTTGTTAAATTCAAAAATCCAAAAACTTCTCAAAAAATTCTGAAAAAATTCACACTTACTCTTTGAATGATTTTAAACAACTTTTTTTCTATAAAATTTTTTCCTAAAACTGATCATTGTTGACTAAAATGGGTTAAATAGAAAAAATTATTCGTGCACTACATGGCCGAAAATCTGCATACACACACAGGCATATATATACAAGTCTGGGTGTAATATTTGTAAGTATATAATCCAGAGATCAAGATCGCCCTTTGCCATTGTCTTTATCAACAATGTTGCCCGATTCTCACCACTTGGAGGTGGACGATTTCCGAGAATCTTCTTCTTTTTTTTTTTTTTTTTATTTATTTTTTTTTAATTTTTTTTACGTTTTTTTATAATTTTTTTAAAAGGTTTACGTTTTTTAAACTTTAAAAAGTTATTTTAAATGACTATCAGTGGATTGTATCAAAACATATTTTGCAAAAATACAATTCACAATTTTCACAAATCCTGTTTGTTCGCTTTTCACATTTTTCTCCCGAACAATATCTAAACTTTTGTACAATCTCTGACTTATGTCCTTTGAAATCCTTCTTCGCCATGTAATGTTTAGCTAATGAGAGTGCAAAGCTTTTTGTAGAGTGTTTTTTATCTTCTGAATCGGTCAAGTCTCTCAAAACTACAGAATTGGTGATGCTTGATTGAATCATTCTCATGAGTATAATCCAAGTCCATTTTTTCGAACGCACAATAGGCACAACCTTATTACATCGCTGGTCATGAATATCAACTCCGCCCATAAATTTGTTATACACCGAAAATGCATGGGGGAATGATATGTCAGATTTCTGCTTTTGTTCCTTGTCAAAACGTTTTACTATAGAAAGAGGAGTAACACCTGCGGCAGTTGACAAAATAGAAACTGGCTTAGAATCTACAACAGTTATAAAGTTGATACCACTTTCTGTATCATGTTTGACTGCATATGTACCTCTATTATCTTTTTTGTCAACGTTGTTTTTTACATTGATACGATTTTCTCGAACCGTGCCTGTTGCTTGTATTCCAATTTTGTGTAGATGTACTAATAAATCAGGGCAGCAAAATAAATTATCGAAATAAACGTGGTACTTACTCAGCTTTTTAATTGATATATTTT